GCGGCGCGTCTTCCGGCGCCCGTGGAGGCGGCGAGGGTGGGACGCGGGGCGGAGCCCGAGTTTAGGAAGAGGAGGGGACGGCTGTCATCAATGAAGTCATATTCATAATCTAGTCCTCGCTCCCTCTGTTGCTGTACTCTGGGTGACTCAGAGAGGGAAGATTCAGCCAGCACACTGCTCGCGAGCAAGGTAAATATAACTTACAACTCCTTTCTCTTCTCTCCCCGGCTCCGGCCTCCCGGCTGCATTCGCAGCCGAACCCCTCTGGCACCGCACCGCCTTCGCCCCGAATTATGCATCTTTATCCTAATCATATTATTTATTGTGCATGCTCGAAGACCAAAACAAACAGGCGGGCCAACCGCTACAACAAAAAGCCCGCCTCTTCCTCGCGGGCCTCAGGTGGAATGCTCTAACGACAGCTCCCGGGCGGTGATAGAAGAAACCAGAAAGTTTCCACCGAACCTCGCCATTCTAATAATAACAACAATAATAATTACTACTTCAAGGGGGTAAGGGGGAAGAAATCCCAACAAGCTATAGCCTTGACCCGAGGCGGGCTGACAGCTATGTGCTGCCAACTCAGGGTTTCAACACACTCTCTTCCAGGTTGCATCCCCCATCCCCTTAAAAGCAGGGGTTGTGTGTGTGTGTGTGTGTGGGGGGGTGACAAGAGAAGGAGAGAGTCTGGAGGAACCGGAGAGGGGAGGCTGGAAGGAAACGCGACAGTTCACCCCGAGCCATCCTCTCCATTAGAGTTGGAAGGAAACGAGAAAGGAGGGCGAAGAGCCCGGGCTGGCGGCAGGGCGCCAACCAACACGGCTGCTACTCGTCTCCCAGAGACTTGTTTAAAGGGCTCCGGCAGCGGGGACGCGAGCAGACCGTGACGGCGGGAGTAGTTCGGGCTGGCATACTGAGCAGGTGGTGGCCGAGTCGGTGCCTGCGGGCTCGGAGGTGTCACCTCCACTCCTCGGGTCCCCTCGGGCAGGGAAGGGGATGTTGATTGGTGACAGGCCTTCAAGCGAAGGGGTTGCTGCGGGGGCTGTGACCGTGGCGCCACGGACCTCCTTGTCTGGTACCTGGAGGCTGAGCGGGCTGGGGTATTGAAGTTCAGGGTGTCCAAGCAGGGTCCCACTGCGGGGGGTGGAAGGAAGCCCCAAGGAAAGAAGTCCGAGGTGCCCGCAGGGCTCCGTTAGCCTGCCCTCCCCCCTCTCTGGGTTTGTTTTCTTTTGCTTGGTGTCTTTCCTTGGCTTGCGCCGAGGAAGCCGCGGCTGTGGGGCGCCTGGGATGGTCTGGGTGTCAGGGGCGCACAGGGACCCGGGAGAGCCGCGGCGGCGGCGGGCTGGGGAGGCCAGGATCCAGATAATTCTCTCTGCCTGACTGTCACA